AAAAAAAAAAAACTAAAAAACGGGGTGGATTGTGTTTAAATGTTTTTTTTTTTCTTTTTTTTTGGTAAGTACGAAATTCTTTTTTTGATTGAAAGATTAAAAGACAAACAGACAGACAGACAGACAGACAGACAGAATGAGAGAAAGAGTAACGGAGAAAAATGGAAAGAATAAAAAGAAAAGGAAAAAATGAGAGTAAAAGAAAAAAAATGAGAGGAAAAGGAAAAAGAGAGGAAAGGAGAGGAGAGGAGAGAGAGAGAGAGAGAGAGAGAGATTAAAAGGAACCGAAAAAACACTCGAAAGAGAGAGAGAGAGAGATAGAGAAAAAATGTAGAGAGAAGGAAGACGCGCACGATTTCACTACTGATTGGTGCTGAGACTGGTGTGCTACTGCTGATACTGGCTGCCTACTGCTACCGCTTGCCAGTGGAAGATATAAACGAGCGGCTTTGGGTTTCTCTGCGCGCGCGAGAGAAACATATAGAGAAAGAGAAAGAGAAAGATAGATAGATAGATAGATAGATAGATAGATAGAGAACGAACGAGTGCGAGAAAAAGGGGTGAAGGGGAGGACGCGAGTCCGCCACACGAGCGAGGGTGGCTCTCAGCAGCGCCCGAGGTAGGCAACCGGACTGACACGGAATACTCTCTTACGATATGGGAGTCTCTCTTTCTCTCTTTCTCTTTGTCTTTAAAACGTGATGGACATCACCACTACCACCACCACGACTGCTTTCAACCACCACCACCACCACCACCGTTAGCTTTACCCTACTCGGCGCCGAAGCACCACAAGAAAGCACTGCGAGGGTGGAGAAAAGACCAAAGCCAGCCACCCAGAGCTTGCGCTCTTCTATCTCTCTCTCTCTCTCTCTCTCTCTCTCTCTCTCTCTCTCTCTCTCTCTTTCTATTTCATCCTGTTAAAACGTTGCACACCGTGTCCAAGTCGGCTTGTCTTTTTATCGTTTTTTTTTCTTTTTCTTCTTCTTCTTCTTCTCAACTTATTCTACAAATTCTCATTTAAAACGTCTCATCTTTTACCTATCATCAATTTTTAACCAATCCCCTTTACTAAACTAAAATAATATTTGATGGAAATATTTCTAATAGAGATTTTATATATTTTGTTGTTGTTGTTGTTGTTGTTAAATGTTTCAAGATGCATTTTATGATCTTTCTTATTAGGTATAATAATTATGATAATTTAAAAATAAATAATATAATAAATAATAATATAAAAATATATCAAATTATTATCTTACAATATATTATATTATATTATATTAATATTTTTAACGTGATAAACTATTGTTCATTATCTTTTAATTACTAATATTCTTATTTTCTATTAACAACCCGCTAATATTTTTAATAAGATCGATAGATCGATTAATCGTTTTGAATTTAAAATTAATTACAACAATACCCATATTTAACTTGAAGATTATTAACATAAATATTTTGTTTTTATTTTTTACTTTCATTACTTCTCTCTTTTTCTTTTTCTTTCTCTTTCTATTTTTTTCCTTTTCATTTCATTTCATTTGATTGATTTTTTCTTTTCATTTATTTGATTCAATCGAACGGAATAATATTTCAGTTTGATGGTAGAATGCACGCAGGCCAGGGTCGAAAAAGTTGTGGTGGTGTCGGCCGTAACTTAGCCGACGCTTTGATCAAACTAGGTGCCTACAATACGCGCTTTATTTCCGTCGTTGGCAATGACGAGCCTGGGACTGCTATATTCCACAGTTTGAAGGGTGGTGGTGGGACCTTGGAACATTCCTCCAATATATCCACGGCTAAGTATGTTTATTTTCTTATACATTTTTTTTTTCTTTTTTATATTATCTTTAAAATATTGGAATTTGATAAATGCATTTAGAGAAGAAGGTGGTTGGCTCGTAAAAGTTCATACAGATTTTGTTTACAATCAAATACTAACTTTCTTGACAATATATAATTTATGTAGATATGTTATATAGTAAAATTTAACAAAACGTATGAATTTTATTTAACTAATTACGTAAATTATTTAAAACAATTTAATCATTGTGTGATGATGATAATAGTGGTGGTGGTGATGGTGGTTGTGTGTGGTGGTGTTAGACGATTTTTCTTATCCTTTTTTGTTTGTTTTTTTTTTAAATTTTATTTAATAAAACTTTGATACGATATAATGTGATTAGAATATTAACATTATTAGTTGGAATGTTTTAAATTATTAATAAATATTTTTGTTTGTTTGTTTGTTTTTTTTTTATTATAGTTGCACCGCGATAATCGATGCTAAAGGTGAATGTTGCTTCTATGTTGGCGAAATGGATGCATTCGCTGCAATTGATACCGATTTAATAAAAAAATACCAAAAGCAATTGGAAGAAGCTAGCATTATCGTCATCGATGCCAATTTACCCACAGAAACTATGGCATTGATCTTAGATATTGCCACCCACGCAAAAATTCCAGGTTAGTGATAAATCGATTTAATTGTATACCCATCTTTTATTTATTTATATTCTTTCTTTATTTTGTTTGTTTGTTTTCATTATATATTTTATTTCTTTCAACGTACCCATAAAATATATATATATATATATATATATATATGTATGTATTTTATGGAAAATAATTTTATATTAATTTTTAATGTATATAATATCTCTTTGGATAAACTAATGGACGAAAACATTATTAAAGTTTATAAAACGATCGATTGAAACTTTATCATTTTTCTTTGTTCTTTTTATATCCACGATTTCGTGACGATCGTATCAAAATAACGTTTAATAATTAATCATATTAATATATATGTTATTTTAATAATAATAATAATAATAATATCATATAATAGTTATTCAAAACTCTTGTAATATAAAAAAATTATAAAAAGCAAAAAACAAAACATCAAAATGGACAACTAACTTAATCGTTGAGTACTAATTCGTTAAACAAAAATACAGATCATCGGTTATCAAAGTAAAAAAAAAAAAACAAGAAAATCTATGTGCTAATAATCGTTTACAGGTAACTCAAGATCTAAATAGAAAAATATACGTAATGATATTTCAAATTATCAAACTAAGTTTCTAATTTTATCTGCTTTTTTTTCTCTCTTTTTCTTAATTTTGAAGTTAAATTTAATATATATATATATATATATATATATAAATTTAAACAAACAAAATATTATCAGTCTCCCTACTTAACTTGGACGGAACGATATTGTACTATATCGCATTTTGAACACCTCTTCTTATCATATTGAATGAAATACAATTGTATCTTTGTTTCATGTTATATAAACTATAAAAGATTCTATATATATATATATATATATGTTTTGTTCGTTACTTCTGATTATATGTATCCACTTCTTGGTGGTGCATGATGACTTTGTGGATTAGGTTGCATTTGCATCACAAGATTTCGTGATTCTTTACGATATGTATAACCTGCTCGTGCATTTAAATATAATAAAAATGCAGCTAACGAATGTAACATAAAAGATATAACAGCGAGACCATAAGACCATGATAAGTGATTGAAATTTGGATACATTAACCAATCCCTGCGCCAACACTGACCTCCAAATATTGCGACTGCCAAAAATAATAAGGCACCTTAAAATATCAAACAAATTATTAACATTAATACTTTTCTTTTATATAGAAAATTAATTAAAAATAATATCTTAATATAATTTACCAGTTGTAGCGTTGAATATAAATGCTGCAGCAGATAAAATCCATTCATAGTGCAATACAAATCTCAAAGGCCATCTTATTAAAATTAATACAATAATTGCTTGAGAAGCAAATGATAATATTAAAGATAGTGTTACAAATGCTTGTACGACCATAAGCCAAACTGGTAATAACCATTCTCTTATGACAAAGTATTCTTGTGAAAAAACATGGTGACATCCATCGAACAATTTATCAAACTGATAATACGGATAGCGAAATTGATCAAAACAATACTCCCAAAGACCCATATGTTTGAAGGTACTAAAGGTGTCATGATACGATTCAATCCAATAAGGACTAAAAACAAACATAATTGTTATTATTTCATAATAGAATTTGTCTTAATTATTATAGGTTATTACATTTTTTGTTTCTATAGGTTATATTAATTACCTTGTAAAAGACATCAACAAAAGTAATCCAGCAATATATGTTATAATTCCTCCAAAAACTACAGCATCTATTTAGGAAAACATTAAAAAACATTAATTGTATTATTATTTGAGGTTATGTTATAAATATTAATGATAATAATTTAAATAATATCTTACTTGATGCTTTTGGATAATCTTGTTTGTCGACCGTCATTTTTGTTATCTTTTTTTTCTCAATATTCTTTATATATTTAAAAATATTATTGAAAATAATCAATTCTCACAAAATATTGTTCCCACTAAAGTTGATGTCACTTGTGTTTCAATACCTGCCACACCTTAATGTTGCGTTTTCACAATACCAATTAACATAGAAAATTTTGATTATGACATTAATCAATTTTTTAAAGAAATTATTGTATTATCAATCACGAGTAAACAATTATTTATATCATTATAAAATAAAAAATAATATGTTTATTACATATTAATGAAAATTAAATAAAGTTGTTATTACGAATTAATAACGAGCGCATGTGGCACCATCTTCTGAAATATATTTTAATTAATCAATGGCGCGTAATTTAAATTTCAATTTATTCAGCTTTAACTTATGATTATTTCTTATTCTCTAATTTTATATTATTTACATTAATTTTGTGTTTCAGTTTGGTACGAACCAACGGATATACGTGTGGCAACAAAAATATTTGAAATTGGATCGCAATGGGAAAATGCATTGCATTTTATATCACCTAATAAATATGAATTATTAGTCATAAGTAAATATTTGGGTTTACCAGTACCCGACAATAAATCAATTACATTGGATGATATAAACGAAATAGCAAATCATTTAGCAAAACACATTCCAGTAATCATAAGTACTTTAGGATCAGAAGGTGTTTTGGTAAGTATATATTACATGTTTTTAAAATAAAACTTATTTTTTAGTTATATTTTAACAATAATGTTTAACTATTATAGATAACACGTGAAGCTGAAAGAACTGACCCTTTTTATGATGAAAATGGTATTCTGATAAAGAACGGTGCAATTAATTCTCGATTATACAGACCGTTATCTCAAATTTCCAAAAGTTCAAATGAAACATTCAGCACCAGTGGTTGTGGTGATTGTTTCGCAGCAGGAATAATATATGGTATTCATAAAAATTTGAACGAAGAAAATTGTATAAATTTAGCTCTGAAAGCAGCTGATTTATCTTTGAAATCTTATCAACCTGTTCCTTCAACATTATCAAATCTCGATGAAGCATAAATTATTAAACTTATGTGTACAATAATTTTCACAGTTTACAAATTTGTCAATAAAATAATTTCATTATATTATATTGTGTATTTGATTGTTTATTTTAATAAACATACGTTATAATATAATATACATCAGTTAAAAAATGTTCTTATCTTAATTCTTAAAACAAACGCAGATCTTTCTAATGTACGCCTAAAATTGTACTCTTGGACGGAAACTACATGATCATTGTATTTTTGTTTAATACAAACATTATACAATATAATGTTAATGTATCGTACATTTAAATATTAGTATTGTGAAATTATAGCGCCTATCAGGCATGAAACATTGTGCCTACAAATACTGAATAATACCCAAAACATGTAACAATATTATAAATGTATATTGCAATTCATTGAAAATATCTTTACAGATATAACAACAATAAAAAAGTAATAATATTTAGCAAAAAAATGAAAAAGAATTTTTTTGGCAAATTATTAAAACGGCTTAAATAAAATAATCTTTCTTAACATGTTTAAAGGCAGTTTTGTTATATAGTCTATATATCTATATATAAAAAAAAAATAATGTATATATATATATACAAAATAATATATCTTTAAAAAGATATTAGTTTCCTGTTATTTAATATCTAAATAATACTTTTGAAGTATTATATAAAAATATATAAATCTTTCATCTCGATACCTTAATTTGTATAATATAATCTAATGTGCAAAATATATATATATATATATATAAATGTGTATATAAACCTAATCATCTTATTCTTATTTTTGTTTTCATTATGGACGGTAATCGGAGAGTTAACAGATACAAAAATATCTGTACGTTATTAAAAATAAAATGCATAATAATATGCAAGGTGTTTTCACTTATGCACGAGATTCAAGTTGAAATTTAGTTTGAGATTCTGTAACATATTTACGTTTTTTATATTGAATATTAGCTTCGACATGAAGCAGAGCACTTGCTATAAGCATCAGTACACTTCCAACTACACCTAATCCAAAAGACCATCCTAAGTAATTATTTGTATGACCGGGCATCCATTCATCCGCATTTCCAAGACAGGCAAATATAATAACAGCGATGCAACCGCTAATGCCACCAACTAAGACCATATATGCGATGATCTTGATAAGCTGTACATATTGTTTCTGTTCTTGACCACAACACAAAGCATATAATAAAATACCAACGAATGATATTAGACCAAGCAGAAAGCAAACCGTGAAAAAGAATTGTGTGGCTATCATAAATGCTGCAACAGAAAACATAGTTGTTTATAATGAATTGTCATTAAATAGTCATTAAGTAGTTATTAATAATCAAAGTATACTTTATACAATGTGTAAACTTACAAGGTAATAGAAAACCACGAATTTCAGAATAACCTTTGGTAAATGGATCATATACCCATCTGCAGCCAACAAAAAAGCGAGTTGGTGCATCTGCTTCACGAGGATTTGGTAAAGATCTAAAGCAATGAGTCCAAAGGCCCAACTTGTCAAGTTGTGCACTGGTGATTCGATAATCACTTACTAACCACGCGGGTGTACCAAATGCTATGCATACACATAGAAATGCCAATAAAAACACACCTATTCCTACATTTCCTGATAAACTTCTTTTCTTCATGATTAATTTTAAACCAATTAACGCTTTCCTTTAATTATACTTTTCTTTTTTATTTTTTACTCACTGTACAATGTATGACAACGATACACTGAAAGTAAGATTCTACTATTTATTATCAAACGTTGTCTCACTCACGGTATTAACCGCACCCCAAGAAAAATTTCAAACTACCGTGCCACACCCAACAACTTGCGTGTGTGTTTTTTATTTGTGTATCACACAATATGTCATAATATTATACAGAACTGTTCTTTTACGTTAGACCCACCCAATTCAATTTTATTTAGCTTTACTCGATGTGACCTAATCTTTAAATCTACTACACAACTGTCTTGTAAACTTAAATTGTGTCATTGACTAATACTGCGCATGCGCCGTATACGACTACGTATGAATCAATGGCGCGATTTAATTATAGATTTGAAAATAATATAATGACTAATAACATATTTCAATTATTTTTTATGTCATTCGTATTCATTATATACATATATATTTTTTTTTCATTTCTCGTTAAAAATATTAACGATACTACAATGACAGATAGAAAGTAATGAAATAATTTATTCATGTAATGATAATTACGAGATGATTCATTGCCATTCGAACTCTATTCTTACGTCGTTTGAAATACTTCATGTCCTTGCTTGACAATCGTGAGAAACTTGTTTTTTTTTTTTCTTTTTCTGTTACATTATACGCTGTTCACAATTTCAGGGTTATTATATGCATAAAGACACACGCAGATTTTATTTCTCATTGTGACATCTTATGAAATCCAATCTCTCAATTGTTCATTCGTTTCTTCATTTCTTTTTTTTTTTACTTTTCTTTTGTATGTATTCTAGTTTATTTTTTTTTTTTTTTTTTTAAGATTTTATTACAAACTTGCATAATATAATAATACATACAAAAATAGATTTAAAAAAAAAGCGTTAATTTTTAATAAATAACTTTACATTATATTTACTTGAATAATTTCTGCTTTTTCTTTTTCGACCATTTGGCTACAAACGCTTTAACATCAAACTTTCTTTTACATCCATTATAATTCATAAATCTTATCTTTCCAAATATATCACGTTCTGTAAAACCTTGATCATGAATACCACAGATTGACCACATACAACCTAAAGATAAAATGAAAACATTTTAACATTTATCTTCTATAATGAACAGATTTATAAATTGGTATGAAACAAAATTGATGACGCACCAACATAACCATTAGGATCATTTCCATCTAAACTGTATTTGTCATTTAATAAAAGTGCCCATTCGAGAGCTTCTTCTGGAGTTGGACTCCATTCTAATATTTTTTTAGCCCAATACATTCGTAAAAATCCATGCATTTTTCCTTCCTGTACTAATTGATTTTGAGCTGCATTCCATAAATCATCATGCGTCAATGAATTTTCCAATTCATTCAAATTATATAAATACTCACGTTTATCATTTCTATAATAGATTTATACATATAAAAAAACAAAAAAAAAACAATTAATGTAAAATAAAAAGATGAATGAAACTATTACCTATGTTTATTCAAAGTTTCTATCGCCCATTCATAAGCACCTTTCATACTATCATAATTTTCATTATAAAAACAAAAATTGTCACTTAGTTCACGACGAATGATAGCTTCTTCCATAAAAACTTCAGTAGACCTTTCCATGGTCTTTTTATATTCCATTACTTCTAAGATACAACGTTGTACTGATATCATACCAAAATGAAACCAAGGTGACAAATGACTAACAGCATCGGTTACTGGATCATTACGTTTTGAATGATATTCCCTTAAACGATTTTTTATAAAACTATCCAATTGTAAAATACCACCGGTATATCCAGGTTTTGCCCATGTGACCTCTTTAACCGTTTTATCCACTTTTACATTTTTTAATGCATTGTCCCAGTCATTTTTTGGAAATGATTGTTTTGTAGAATATTCATGTTTGGTAACTGGTGGAAAACTGGTTAAATATTCTTTCAATTTAGAAGTTATTTTTGGACGTATCGTTCTTGCAGCATATTCTAATTTATCTGAAGCCAACCAACATGGTACAATATTGTGTGCATCTACCTTTACAAACAAATATACAAAATTACTAATAATAATAATAATAATCAATGAATATTTGTTCTATAGAAAATCTATGATATATACTTGACACATAGGAACATCATCTGGTAGTTTGTCCATCACATCATTGACCCAACCCATTGGTAATTTTAATGGAAAAAAATCTGTAATAACTGCACCCATGTGATACTTTTTAACAAAACTTGGTACTACTGAACTTGGTTCACCGTCCAACAGATGAAAATTAATATTCAAATCTGTACATTCTTTTTCTATTTCTTTTAAACCATGTAATAAGAATTTATAATGGCGCATTGTTGAATTCAGAAATTTGGGTAATATACAGAAACAAATGTGAAGTGGTACTTTATTTTTTATAGCAGTTCTTTGTGCAAATAAAAATGCCCAATTATCTAAAATAATGTTACACCTGTTATATTAATATTGTTTTCAATGAAACGTTGTTATAATATATTTTACCTTGAACTCTAGCATCGCGACACATCCAATACAAAATACCTTTACAATCATTTATCTCATTTGACTTTTTTAACAATTTAACCCTTTTTTTATTAAACTGAAAGTCCATCACTGAATCTGCTACCTATGGGTACAATTAAATTCATATATACATGTAAACGATATTTCATAATTAAATATAAACAAATAATAATATATATTTATATAAGATTATTTGCATAAACAAAAACCAAACCCATGCTCACGTTCTTTCTATCATTTTCTATTTTGGTTATTAAATCTACTGATTTCAATTTTTTTTTTGGTGGTTCTTCCGCCATTATTGTTTGTAAAACACTCTTCTCACTTGTTTTATATTGAACAAAAAAATTAATATAAAGAAAATAATTATTGTTATTAAGTACAATGAGTTTAATAATAAAAACAATCACTGAAAACGTGGTAGTATTTACGCGCCAAAGGATCACAACTAACTGAATGAGTAAGTCAAGTTAAAGTAGAGATCCTGTATCGTTCGTTATTTATATTTAAATAATACTTAAATTATTTTTATTAAAATAAAAAAATAAAAAAAAAATAAAAGATAAATCTTTATACTGTCTAAAATTATATAATATTTTATGATAACAAAATATTATCTATTGTTATTATATTTAAATTTATTGTATTTAACCACTGTCGATATTGCAGATTTCTTCAATTGAAATGTTATGAGATGGTAAGTTCATATTCGTACTTACCGATTCAGTATGGTAACTTTGTGTTATACCACAGATGGTAAGATAAAATCCAAAAGACAAATGTGAAATAATTGAACATATTTTTATATATATGTATACGTATATGTATGAAATATAATATTATTATAAATGAATATAAATTTATTGACATAAATTTAACGAAATAAATTAAATTCCCTTTTCGAATGATTTAATTTACCCTATAGAACCCCATTTTATCCGATTACGAGTTTTTCATTATAAACGATGGGGGGGGGGCGATGACTATGTTTATAAAGAGATATTTATTAAAATGACCAAAAAAAAAAAAAATGGAAAGGAAAGAAAAATATGAAAATATCTTTAAGGATAAACTTTGTGAAGAAAGTAGGAAAATGTGTTAGATGAGTTTTACGGAAAATCTAAATTTTACAAATGATCGAAACGTTCTCTCATAATAGGAAAGTATAGAAACGAGGAATAGGAGGAGGATGAGGAGGTTAACTCGGATCGTTTATCCCGAGGGAGAAGAAAAATGATTGTTCCGAGTTACTATATATATATAACTAGTATACTAGTAAACCTAACCTAACCTATCAAGCTAGCAATCTAGTTGCCTGGCCAAGAGGTTCTGCTCATTTTTCTTAGAAAAAGAAAGAAAATTCGTCGCTTTTCTATTCCCCTTTCCCTTCCCCCCAAAAAGAAACCGTAGGACATATAAACAGGCTGTTAGAATGTCATTCAAGTTATTCTATATATTCGTTTTCCTCCATTTTCCTCATTTTCACGTAAAACCGGAAACACACACACACACACACACGAGGGAAACATCCGATTATTCAAACGGATGAAACGAGAGAAAATTCCCCACCAGCGTGAGAATGAATTTCCCTATATACTAGGAGTTTATGTTAACGATGGAAGAGAAAAATTCCGGGAGAGATGATGGTGATGGTTGTGGTGGTGGTGGTGGTGGTTATCCTACGGGATACCCTCGATTCAATGAGATCCTGATCGGTTTTGGGAATAGAGGATGCGTTTTGACGATCGTATGTCAAAGTTAAAGAGATTATGATACTTTAGTTTGTGACGTTTTGTCATCATCTTTGACAACATTGTCAAATTTATTTTATATTATTCTTATTTTTATTATAAATATATAACATATTATTATATTGTAGAATAAATTGAATAATATAAAAAGATAAAAAAAAAAAAAGAATACGATGCAACAGATGCAACAACATAGATTTTTATTATTATTATTATTATTATTATTATTATTATTATTATTATTATTATTATTATTATTATTATATATTATATATTATATATTTGTTTTATATTGTTTAAAATATAAAAAAGAAAACACAATTGTGTAGAAGTTATGGATTTTGATATGATATTTATTTTCTATGTTTTTCTATCTAGTGGCAAGTTTAATATACACGTATGAAAGTGAGATAGTTAGTTGAAACAATAATTTTGTATTTTTTATCTGTTATTTTTTATATTGTTTTTTTATTTTTCCACGAAGTAGGAAAAAATCCTTGGAAATTCTATGATACCCTGTTTTGAAACGAGAAAAAGTAGCACTCCTTCCTCTCTCTCTCTTTCTTTCTTTCTCTCTATTTCTCTTTTTCTATCTTACTATGTTTTGTTAAAACGTTGCAATTACTAGGATACGATTGTATTGATAATATACTTGGTATATGTTTAATATATATATATATATATATATATATATATATATATATATATATTTATACAGTGCTTTGTTTGTGTGGAAACTCAATTGGAACGGA